CCAAGTTGCATATAGATTATTCAGGAGGAAGAAACGGAAGGTTTGATAGATACGGTTATTTGTAGCTTTGTTTTTGCTTTTAGATACAGTACGTGTGGTGAATTCCACTTGCATTACATATTCATTGATTAGAGGTTTTGACACCTTCTTTGATGTCCACATGTTTACATTCACTCACATCTACATCTTCATTCGTTCGATGGTCTGCCTCTCTCAACCATCTCAACTCCACTTTGACTATTCCCTCTCTTGGTATTATTCATGTATGAACCTCGTTCTGGGTCATTTCACCTCTGTATCTGATTCCGTCTCTACATTGATACATTCCTCGCATCCACCTTCTGTATCCCTTTCCCTCTCATGATTTGACAAGCTCCCTTCTTTCTTCTCTTATTGTAAGTTTACTTATGACGAGTAGCACCATGCACCACCCAGCGCACAGACCGTATTCCCCTATAAAAATGAAACACCCCTCCCCTACCCCTTTGCCCGTGCGTTATTCCCCCTTGATCAAAGTGGCAAACAAAATCAGAGATGACAGTTGAACCAAAGGATGGAAATGCTATGTTGCTTCTTCTCTTCTTCTCTTCTTCTCTTTCTCTCCCCTCTTTCCCTTCCCTCTCCCTCTTTCTCATATCCACCTGATTAGATTCAACGTGGGATAACCTTACTTTCTCCATTCAACAAGAAGTATAAACAAGTAGAAGAAATAAGTGTTCGATAATCCATCCTCCTCGACGATCGACGAGATGTTAGCACCTGCTGCATTCCCTTCTTTGTTCCTTACACGTATGTTACCTCTCTTCTCAACTGTACTCCTTCCCTACTCCTTCTATCCTTCCCTGTTCTCCTGTTATTGTTGATAAACCAACAAACAACCATATCGTCATCTCAACCGTATCATGCGAATTCTATCTCAGTGAATCTGACCAAGCTAATCTCTTAGTATCAGGATTCATCTTACTTCTCCTAGTCACACTTTCCGTCCCGATCATAAAAACCATCTACTTGTTACATGTCGAAAGTGCACTAGGATCCACAGTAGCCAACGCTGGAGTTTTAGGGTTTTGTTACCCTGGTGGAAGTGCTAGTTTCGCTGGTATACATTATTCGACAACTGCACATTGTACCAACCCAAAGGTCGCTTATGAGTTGGATCCTACTTTTTTAGGATATTCCGTTGGTTCGGTGAGTTATGAACGTTTTTTGGTTTCACATATATCATTCTTCCACGGATTGTCTGATTGAATCACACTGTTGATCCTTTCGTCCAGTTTGATGTCATAGAAAAAGGAAAGAAATTATCTCGGATTGGGTTTTTCTATCATGTCCCTCGTTTTGATTCATTTTTTACGTCAGAGAGAAATGAGCGTCAGAGAGAAAGGTGGGGGGGGGGGGGGGTCTTACAATGGCTCATTGAAATACCACCGTGTCGGGTCGAGTTTGAGCGTTGAAAGAGATTGATTGGAAAAGAAACATGGCTTATGTTCAGGACGTAGGTAAAGACGTTTCACGTGGATTGGCAGGAAGTTTAATCCTTAATGCTGTCGCTTGCGGTTTGGCGGGATTAAGTTTGTTTTGGGCGTTTTTCGCTTGGTTTTGTTCCAGTAGGATTTTAGAAATTGTGCGTTCTTTTCTCTCCCTTCTTATCACGCTTTTCATCATCTCGTGTCATCATTTAACAACGTGAAAACACTTCATGGCATTATTACACTAATGCAAACTACTCCATGTAAATATCATTTCGCTTCCGTTAGTGGATTGATAGGGAATGAGGAAGTTGGATGGTCTCAAAGCATTTATTAATCCCAGATCACCTTTTTATCCTTACTTCTCTCCGCACTTATCGCATGGCTCTCTTGGGCACTAGATCTAGCCATCGTACTGGTCTTCCGCCACAGGGTCAATCACGATACCAACGGAGCGTTTTCTGGACATATTGGGAATGCCGTATGGCTTGCTTTGGCCGGAGCTGTGAGTGGGCGTTTTCACCTCCATTCCTTTCAAATGGACCCGCCAGATCGAGTCGGACTTGTTTTTCAACAGACACATCATGTCTTGAGCTGAATCATCTCACCTATACCTAACTTGCAACATTGTCGTAGAAGAGGGATGGTCTTGTTCACGAGTAGGATGAATATGGAAGGATGACCCACTAACACCAGGTCGCACTCACGTTCGCACTTTGCGCAGCTGGTTGTGGATGTTTCGGTCGATATTCTTCTCGTTATGCCGATGCTCCACCCCCTCCTGCCAAATACGGTCGACGATACCCGTGAGTCTGACTTGGTTTTTATTTCACTCCATCGTCGTCTTCTGAGGCGACATTCATATCTGACTAAGTGGGGTCAGTAGTGTTGAGAGACGTGAAATCTGACGAGCAAGATGGCAAAGATCCGCCCCTATGGCCCGGGGCACTTATTGAGCTTTGGAAGATGGTAGATCCCGTTAATATGAGGAATGTTTTGCTTGAATGATAATGGTTATCTTTGATATAGTTTCTTGAATAGTGACCGGCTGCTGCCTACGTGTATGGTGATGACTTATGCAACTTAATGAAGTGATGATGAGTTTATTCTTGGACAGAGTACTCGTGCTTCGTTACAAACTCCTACTGTACTCGTATCGACTTCGGAAGAGGGATAAGAGTAGTGTCGAATTCTCCTCATAAGAAAAGCTTCCCTATTACATGTCTCGCGGGCCTATCTCGATCAACTCCGTCCAACTAACCATTAGTTACTACTAACTTATTTGGGCGGCCACACTCCAGCAAACGGTTTCTAATTCCCCATATACTTACTCTGATTTCCAGCAATGCATTACCAGTAAGGTTATACAAGGGACGGTCAAGTTGAAGCTGCCAGGACGCGTCCAACGATTCCCTGATCCCTGACCTGGGGAAACATTCCATCCGTCCAGCTCTCCACTAATTCACTAACATCAGCAAACAACATGCAACATACAACAACCATCTCATCAATAAAGACGAATCAGTCCAACATCCAACATCCAACATCCAACAACAATCTTGAACCTTTAATCATCGAGTTCATAAGGAAACTCACCCATAACATAATGTCAAAAGATCCTTTATCAACTCTCGGTTCAGATATATTCCAAAGTATAATCCTTCAATTACCTTACGTCGATTTATTGATAGGAGAACAAGTATCAAAATCATGGAATAACATCATCAATGAAAATCCTTTTTTATGGAGGATTAAATGTCATGAAGTTGGTGTAGACCCATTGATCATAAGTCGTTTACATGAATTGGAATTAAGATCTGCTGGAACTTTTTCAACCTCCACCTCAAACTCAACCCCTAATACCTTGAACAATCCTCTTTCATCTAATCTCGTTTCCACTTCCAACCCCTCCAATTCTCCCAGCTCTTCTCTTCCTTCCAACCCACTTACTTTTCCCTCTGAGATTGATCGATTGACAACATTCAATCCTCTCGATGATCAAGATGGATCATCTTCCCAAACCGATAAACCTTCTCCACCTGTTAATTGGAAGAAAATTTGTCAAAAACATATCTTAATCGGATCTAATTGGATACACGCACGTTCTAAAGATATAAGAATAAACACTCAAGATTCGATACATAGATTTAAAATGATGGATTTTCAATTAGGTCAAAATCAATATATGGTTTATACTTCTTGGGGAGATGAAGGTGGTTTATACGTTATGGAAGTATCTAATGGAAGGAAAGTTTTTGAAATTGAAGGAGTTAGATCTTATGCACATTTAGAACATGTTGATGGTCATTTTATTTTTGATAGTCAAGATGGTGAGTTTTTCTTATTTATTTATCTATTTTCTACCTCGTATAAAAATTATTAATCACCTTACCTTGTTTCAAAGACTTCTTTCTTTTTTCCGTTTTCATTTAACATTTCCTTCTCTTTATCAAAATGATGTATACAATTCTTTTTGAGAAGGAAACTTTTTCTTATATTGTTATGTTGGATATCGCTCAAATCCCAGGTCGATCTCTTGAAGTTTGGCGTACTCAAGAATGTATCGACAGAAATAATTCACAACCTAACCCAGGAAGAATTTCTTCTTACTCCAGAGTGAGATCTTTCACTCATCCGGAATTCAACACCAGAACCACACCACTTCCTCCTGGACATTTATCGTATTTTCGTACCATCACACCGAATGGTCCAATTCCATTCAACGCTTTCAGAGCTCGAAAAAGTATTAGAATGTATCAATCTACCAATTTAAATTCATCTACCACCATCACCACCACCACCACTACCGCCGCTCGGAATAACATAGAGGACCAATTTCGAACCCAAGAAAATAATCAAGAAACGACACAAACAGAAGAAACATTTCATCCAATGTTATTAGTAGCAAGTACATCAAGTCATCATATATACGATTTATCAGATTTTGATTACGTAGAAAATGTCATACTTGACGTACCTGTCGATATCCCAATACAATCACAATTATCTTATGTTGAATTTGATCAAGAATTCGTCATAAGATGTCAAGGTGATTCCATAAAAATATTTTCACGTCAAAATGGTAACCAATTGATTTCTTTCCCTAAAGTGGATGATATGCAATACCAACCTGCAGGGATCGTGTTTGATATGAAAAGAACTTCTGGAAGGAGGGATTTGAAAAGGGTAGAACCGTTTGGTGAGGTTGAATTTACTGCTGAAAGATGGAAATGGGATTTTGAAAGATCAAATGTTTTGTCAAGTCGGAATCGTGTAACCAAATTTTACGCGTGAGTTGAGAGAGACAGACAAAACATCTTTTCATCTATTATATCATTCTCATTCTTCATTTCGGATTTAATCCTTTTTCCAAACCTCTGAACTGTTTTTGTTCGAATCCTTTACTGTGTTCGTACAAATACTTTACTATTCTTGTCCAAATCCCTTGCTATTTTCGTTCAAGTGTTTGAAAATAAACGAAAGTGATGTTTTGATCTGAGGGAGAGGGTATCTTTTTCAATGTTCTCTGTTTCATGATAGTATAAAAGTGAAGAGACTTTGTGGTGGCGGTGCAAGAAGGGGGGGGAACAATGTTGGTAAAAAGTTAATTCTCAGTGCACATTGTACCACTCAACATTTGGTTTGTTTAGCCAATTGGTGTACACTGATCGTACTCAATTATCGCGAGGTATTCCGACATGTTGAAAGAGAACAATTAAATCTTCCGCTTTCACTGGATTATATCAAGGAGAATAGTGTCATGTTAGCTTTATATGGTGGACATTTAGAAATTGTTGGAGATCGTGTAGCTATTAGCGAAGTGAGTAAAACTTCCTCACCGATTGAAATCCTTTTTTCTTCTTTTTGCTTTCCCTTCTTTTTAAATCATACCACAATCCCATCTACTTAAAAAAAGTCCAAATTTGTGCATTTCGATGATGTTCACTCAAAAAACATCGGATTGTTCTGTCACGTTACTACCCTCGCGTGATTTTTGGTAATTTTTTTCTTAAAAAAAAGAGGAAAAAGAGAAGATGGAGAGGAAGAAGAAGAAGAAGAAGAATAATCAAAACTGATTATGTAAAGTACAATGGCGGTATAACATTATTAGATCTTTTCCCTTTAACCACATCACTCCATAACAGTCGAAATAACCATATGATCAATTCGACTATAATCACTGATTTACCAAATCATCAAAACTCAAATACGAACATATCTGACGATCATGATTTCACAACGGACTTGGATCCATCCGACAGAAGTCGATTGGATCATATGATAGATGAAGAAATCGTACCTCCTAGAGCTATACATTTACCGATTGAAGAAAGAGAAAATCAAGAAATCACTTGCGTTCAAATTGTCGGAAATACATTATGGAGTTGTTGGTCTTATACTACTGAAGATGAAGAAGGGGTGGATCTTGATGTTGATGATGTACCTCCTTTACCTAGGTTTGGGGTGGTTCACGGATGGGATTTTGGGGCTGTTTGAGGCTGTTTGAGGTCACGAGATTGTTCGTTGTGGTGATTCTGTCGGTGAGAGATTATGAGGTTCGATTGCGGATCATAAGTAGATAGATATTCGAGGATTCTTGTCTTATCTATACGATCATCAGATCAGGTCGGAAAAGGTCGTACGTTTATGTCCTCCCCTATAGATTGTTTGTACTGCGGGACATGGGGAAGTTGTGAAATGGTAGGGATAACAAACCAGGGGTGAATCCTAAATATCTGTTTCTTTCTTCTTCTGGGGAATTCATGATGATAGATGAATTTCAGAGTCTCAACTCATATGGACGACGACGATCTTTGACTGGACTACGTTCAAAGCGGATGCATCTTGAATTTTAAAATCAATCGGAAGTTGTTCCAACTTACCATTATCAACCTACGCTTCCTTCAAACCCTGCTGAATTCCAATATCCACTCACAAAGCTTATCAACACTTTCCAACCCTACAGCATTATATAAACTCGCTCTTCCACCACCAACACTTCTATGTCCTTTCAACTGTCTCAATCCACGTTCTTCAGCACCTTTAAAGAAGTCTTCTTCTCTTTCGATTATCTCAAAAGTAACATTCATCCAACTTCTAGCTTTTTTCTCTCTCACAACACCTTTCATCTTTTCTATCGTTTCCACTTTATCTAAAACTTGATAAACTCTTTTAGCTTTTTCTTCATTTATCTCCTTCATTTTCTCCATACCCCCATTTCTTACCAATTCCTTCAATACCAAAGCACATACGTAAATAGCGAAAACGGGGGGAGTATTGTATAAAGATCCATTTTCAGCCATAATCTTCCATTCCATACCTATCGGAGTTGGTATTACCCCACCTTTTGAATAAGCCAATGAAGTATCTACTAGAAGATCATTCCGAACGATCAAAACTGTTACTCCTGCTGGACCTAAATTCTTTTGAGCACCAGCGAAGATGACAGCATGTTTGTTTAGATGTGGGATAGGTCGGGAGAGGAAAGAACTTGAATAATCTGCTACTATAGGTATATGAGAAGGGATCATATCGAAAGGGAAAGAAAATTCATCGGAAAGTGAATATTGAACACCGTTTATAGTTTCGTTTTCACAGTAATAGATGTAAGCTGGATTTGAGGAGAATTTGTATTCTTCTTTACTTGGAAGAGTTGTATATCCGGTAGGTTTGGTATTTGCCGCAATGTGAGGGATGGCGTATGTGGGTGAAGAAGTGGAGGAAGGTGAACAAAGTCGGACAGCTTCGGAATAAGCTTTTGATGACCATGAACCTGTAATGATGTAATCGATGTTTGGTGGAGTGTATGAAGAAGCTGGAAGGGAAATGTTGGATGAAGATAAACGATGAGCGGCGAGAAGGTTGAGTATTATAGATGAGAACATTGAAGTACCACCGCCTTGGGAAAACAGTATGGAATAATTATCCGGGACAGAGAGCAAGGAATGAATATCAGCTGAGGGTTAGTCAATAATCTGAAACATGGGAGAATGTATAGAAGGAGATGTATTCACCTTCCGCACCAGAAATAATCCCCTTAAACTCTTTACCTCTATGTGATAATTCGCATATCCCCATTCCGGTCCCTTGGTAATTGACCAAACCACGAGCAGCTTCTTCAAGTACTGAAGTAGGTAATGGACTCGGTCCAGCTGCGAAATTGTGCACTTGACTTCTTTCCATTTTGATAATTGACTGTTGTTTCTCGTTTCTTCACACTAAAACTCTAACCTTGAGTAGCCAGCGGCTTTCGATATAAATGATATGTTTAGGAGAGAATCACAAAAAGTCGACGGACGATGAGTAGGGAGTTTATCCGACTCGCGGGAGGGCGACCGTGGCAAAAGCCAGATACGACCGTGGGAGATTCTTGGAGCTGGGGTAACCGTGGGAAAGTGTCCACTCGGCTCGATCACCAGACAGGCAACGACGACGACGACGACGACGATAGCGATAACGACCATAACGATAACGGCACCGACGACGACGACGACTAGGGTCATATATGCTCCCGGCGTCCTGGAGCATCCCTGAGGCCCCGAGGGTAGCCAATCGAAGGCGGAAAGATACGGCATCAGGGTGACATGATCAGCTCCTTCTTTAACTTCCCAAACCATTGACGACATTCATGTGACAAATCTTCCTTTTCTCTCCCTTCTATTCCACCTCGGCTATCTCAATTCCTCACTCCTTCTTTTTCTTTTTACTCTTTCCATGAGTCATTCCTGCCACACACCTGCACATCTGTCTGATCTCAAGGCGACGAGAAAACATCCGAGAGTTCATCGGTAATCGGCATTCCGGTTATATATGTTAACACCAACCGCAGGTTTACTCTATCTCTACTGCTCTTTCAACACATTCGTAGTTGTAGATCTGAAATATTACCTTAGCTCCAGCGACAAGCTTCTTGAAGTGTAACAGCCGATTCTTCGACCGTGAAGCCTAGCGAGAAGACGAGATTCAAGATGTCAAGAATCCTAACACCTATCAATACCACCCCCTCACCCTCTCGTCCAACTTCGTTCCCAACCTCCCCTACCCCTTCTCTCAATCCGGCTCCTCCACCTCTCCCCGCCAGTCTTCAAATTCTGGTCTATCTCCTCAGAGAACTTGTATATTGGGCGAATATCTGGCTCGATAGATTATGGGCTTTAGTACATGACTTGTTTTATCTCGGTTTGACGATAATGAGACTGGTGGAACATGTTCCTATGTATGGTTCTAGGGCTAGGTCAGGGTTGGTGGGTGAAGGAAAAGCTGTGGTGATTATTGGAGCAAAAGAGAGTGAGTATGGAATTTCTAATACATATCCTTCAACTTCCTTCTTCAATTTAACTCGCCTTCTGTTCGAGTGGTATCAGTATACCAGCCATTGATCTACCCTTTACCTCACCATCTTCAACACAATGTATCAAATCCTTCTCACGTGTCACGGTTTTTGGATTACTCCGTCCATGTTACGCTCAACCCTTCCACTCGATCTCTGAACACGGATCGACTAACCTGAAGACATTTGCTCACGACAGGCATCGGTCAACACCTCACCCTTCGACTTGCCAAATTAGGCTACACTGTCTTTCCTCTCCTTCCACAACCATCCACTTACTCACCTCCAACCTCTCAAGCACTCGCCTCTCTTCTCCTCACGTGGGGAGATATCAAAAAACATTTACTCGTTTCTTATCCCCGTCATCCTGGTGCAGTAGTACCCGTCATGACAGATCCCGAACCAAAAGATTGGCCATGGACATGGAGTGTAAAATCAGCATTGAAAATCACTGGTCGATTGGAACATGCCGGCGAAACCATCAGAGCTTATTGTCGAGATCATCATTTATGTTTAGTAGGTATTGTCTGTACACCTCGAGGTACACTTCCACCTATTCCTTTACCTGCTTTATCACCAAGTCCACCTTCACCTACAAAAGAAAGTCAAGCCGGACAAGGATTAGGTTTAGACGTAGGTTTGACAGAAGAATCCAGTGGATCAATACAACCTAAACCAATCACAAACATGATCGATTTAAGTGATAATGATATCACATCATTCGTTAGTGAAATGGAAATAAGTGGTGGAAATACTAGTGTATTAGTTGCTAGAATCTCACAAGCTCCTGATCAAGCACCAACAGAAGAAGAAGAAAAAGCAGGTACTACCACTACCACTACAAGTTTCACACCTCGTAGACGTGGTTCTTCGACTTCACCAGCTTTATCTATGGTAGAACCTGATCCTGATCCTGCCGGTTTAGGTTTACCAAGTAAAAATACACTTCATTCTCTTTTCACTGGAAATGTTATTGAACCTGTGGCTATGATTGGGTATCTAGGAGATTTATTGGGTAATGCTAAAAGACATGGGAAAGGGAAAGGTAAAGTTATTTTCATCAATGATTTGAATGGCGCGGGAGTTATGAGAATGGATGAGAGGGAAGGTTTAGCTATGCGTAGTGTTGGTGGAGCTAGGAGAGAGGCTATCAAAGGTTTAAGGAAAGAACATGGGAGAGGTGGTTTGATTGCCGTTTGTGAGATTGTTGCTGGTGAGTGATGAAGTTTACCATTCATTATTAATCTAACCTTCTCTCCCAAACCGTTCTGCATGGTCTTTCGTTCATTTCTTACATCATGGCTTTTCCGCACTTCCTCAATGCCAGTCCTATTTCAACTCATCCCTGATTTTTCATTCTGGTCCATCAGATCACCTACCATCTATTTTGACATATCTCGTTGAACACAATTTAACTTCCAGGTCGTCTCATCCGTCGTCGTAACCTATCACCTGAAGATCTCCCAGATATTCATCTAAGAACATCAACCTCTCATTCTAAACTTCCAAAAATACCACAATCAAATCGACCAGCTCCATTCTTTCCTTTTCTTCACACTCCCACTCCCACTCCCTCTTTCCATCTTCCTCCCACATCCACAATCCTCACGTCTTTCGACCCTTCCAATCCAGGTAAAGGTCCGTTCGATCCTTCTGAACATTACATCGCGACAAGACAACATTTCCCCCCGACGCCAGGTTTGACACCGGAACAAGTACTAGATATGGCACCTACTATAGTGGCAATTGATGAACATGCTATTTTTTGCGCGGTGGATACGGCTTTGAAATGTCGTCATGCGAGAGATAGGAGTTATGTAGGTTGGGAACCTTTGATCAGAGATTGGGTCGGTTGGATCCCTGGAAGTGGTCTGGTTTGGTGGATGGTTTGTCTCGGAGCAAAATTATGGGCTAGGATTTTGACTCTTTGACAAGTTGAGACAAGATCAGGTATCACGAACCGCAAAGTGACTGAGGGGTAGATATACTTTTGAACTTTTGGGGATGCATAGACAGTGGACGAGTGCGACTGAAGTGGAATGGAGATTAATGGGATGGGGATTGGGTTTTCAAATTGAATACAGTCGGTGGGGGTTAGAAGTTGATGAGGAGAGGAAACGGAGTACAAGAAGATGACAGGAAAGTCATGTATATGTTTCATGTTATACGATGTATGTAAATTGTTACATGTATAAAACACTATCCTCGTACTTCTCGAACTCGAGTTTCTTTCAAGATGTTTACGGTACCTGATCACACAACCACTACTTGACGATATCACCTTGCACCACGGAGTCGGTTTGAAGAGCGATGAAATTGTCTTATCCAACAACGAGGGGTACGTACAAGTCTACAAACTCGTTGATATAATCACGGGTTTATGATGTTGGCTATACATATCTTCTCTCTTTGGAGCAATCGAATGATGGATAAGGTAGCTTGAATGATTCGATCATATGGGAAATCATGGTTCGGGAAAATATTCAGGAACTAAACCTTCATAAACTTTTTTATCTTTTTCACTAAAGACAACAAAGATAACTCGAGTTATAGACTTGTTTTCCTGTAAGAAAAGTCGAGTGGTACGAAGTGATATTTGTGTAGCTTCGATTATTGGATAACCATCTGTATGTCAGATCCATTCTGGAAGAAGCTTGAAAGAGTACGATAGAGGAAAGAAGAATTCATTCTGGGAGAAGCGTGAAAGAGTAAGAGGAAGGAAAGGAGAATTCATTCTGGAAGAAGCTTGAAAAGTAAGAGAGAGGAAAGAAGAGATCATTCTGGAAGAAGCTTGAAAGAGTAAGAGGAAGGAAAGAAGAAGAAAAACAGAAAACAGAAGAAGAACTCACAAACACCAGTAGAAATACTTGAAAAACCTATTGTCTCACCTCCTTTAGCGACACAAGCTTCGAGGGATGTTCTATAACATGATTCTAACTGTTCGGCTGATCTTTCGACGTTGAGCTTCGAATAGATTGGACCGACAGTATGAGCTACGTATTTCGCCGGAAGCTAAGTGTGAGCTGATCTGATCTTTGACTTCATTTCTGGCTCCCATCCATTCTCGATATTTCACTTGAACAAAGTGTCTCCTGAAATCTTCATCTGCCCGAAGAGGTGAGAGGATTGCTTGGACGTGAGGAGTCATCGGGATGGATCTGCGGTGAAACGAATCTCAAGCCAAGATTTGGTAATTACGGCAAACTCAAAGTATGTGATTCGAAAGATCTTGGATGTGTTTTGATGAGGGGATAACTCACATCATATCCTTTGGTCACTTTGGTCTCTCCAGTTTCCGCCCCACCTAAACCCTCACATTCCTTCAATAAGTCTGGACCTGCGGCAGAATGGATAGCCCCGTCTACTCCACCTCCACCAAGAAGAGATCGATTAGCAGCGTTGACTATCATATCTGCCTATCGGGTCAGCGTCCGTTTCAAACCTCCCTTCAGTGGAGTGAGAGCTAGCGGGAGAAGTCATTCGAGGTTTGACGGCGGGAGGTAAGAGGAAGACATACTTTGAGTCTAGTGATATCGCCTGAACGTCAGCAGGGTCACCTGGGATGATACAATCGATCTGTATCTCCAGATTTCGGATCTGAGGGTCGAGAGAGCGCGATGGATTGATCTCTGGATTTGTGTTGTGATAAACTAGGATCACAACGTTTGAGGTTGAAGGAGGATGAGACGGTGGGACAGGTTAAGAGTGAGGGCTTTCACAAGTGTCATAACCAGGTATGAAGAGAGAGAGATAGAGAGGAATTATATAAAACAACACCCACCTTGCCATATACAAACACGTTGAATGAGGTGAGGATCGGGAAGAAAGCAAGGTTTATCCTCAGGATCAGGTAACTGATCTCTATCGTACATGTCCGCCAACGTCGGGAGTACTTCCGCCAGAACGGGAGTAGGAGACATCTTGAAAATACCCTGTCGCCTGGATCGAGAGAGGAATGCTATTATAGAAGAGATCGTACGGTTTAGACGGGTTCGAGATGAGGAAAAAGGAAGAAGGGTGAACATGGAGAGGAAAAGAGGAGGGAAAGTTAAAGTGGCGGAGTGGCATTTCTTCCACTTTCCTTCTTCCCTCTTTCTCTACCCTGTAAACGAAACGTTCAGGCCTGTCTCAATGGTTGTATACGCCACATCTCACCCTCCTTAGTTATGCAATACCCCTTCGAGGATCTCAACAAGTAGACGGTGGGTGGCCGAAGGCGATGATGATGACGTCGATGAAATCGTCGGAAGGCGAAAGACCAGGCAGGACAATCCTCGGCCATATCCACTATCCACCATGGACAAAGGTTGGAAGATAGCTGTGTAGGTGACATAAGGGAGGATCATAAGTGTTTCACACTCAGTTACTTTGAATCAGAGACAGACAAGACTATAAGAAGCAACACCCCCTTTCCTGCCTGGCAAACATTCAACAACCCACTTTCAACAACAAACCAATTCTTGACATGGGCTTACCCGTCAGTACAGTTCCCCAATCACCATTGGTTCTCTCCACTTCTTGTAGCAGTGCAAAACTCAATACGTTGAATGCAAGTGTCAAAGTACTTGATGAACTTCTTCATTATAATCATCAATATCGGAAAGAACAGACTGCTTTGGAGATTACCGGGTTGGAAGGAGGAAAAGTCACGCTATGGCCCATACTGCCAATCAGCAATGAACTCGGTCAGGCTTTACAAGAATTTGAGTCCGCCTTGCAGAACTCTCACTTTCATACCGATGTGCAGGCGGAGTGGTATAGTAGCTTTCTTATCAACCAATCCTCATTGTTGGAGTATCAACATTGGCAAAATGCTTGGGATCCGAGGGCCAACAATGAGTATGAAGTTTACATGCACGAGTATACCAACAATCTGACTAGGGATTTATCAGAAGGAAAGATACCAGGAGTGGACTTGGTGGTTTCTCTTGACAACACATCAGAGTTGAAAGTTCCAGAGGGTACCACAATAGGGAAGTTAGTTTTGGACAACTGGTCATCTGCAGGTAAATCCAATGATCCTTATCTCCTGAAGACCGCTGGCCCCCTAAGCCTGCCACCGCTCAGTGATTTCCGGGGTCAATCTGACAAAGCTCAGGAGGCTGGGAGGTGTATGAGTAGTGTACAGATGTAGGGGAGGTGTCTGGACCAGAGATTGTAGAGAGTTTGTGTCTGTGAGCTATGGTTATGTGTCAGGACCAGACGTTGAAAATAGTCTTCTGTTCAGGGTCACAACAACTGGAAGCAGTTCTATTGAACTCAACACAATAGGATGAGAGAAGGACAGATAGGGGAAGGCAGTGCTGCAGTAGGGTAGGACGGGTTGTCCCCCTTTTGAGATTTCCCCACTGGGTTTGCTCAAAGCGGTTCCACACCTGTCTGAGTATGTACATAGATGATTGCAGCAGGACAGGGGAGAAATCAGGAGACTGTCACAGCCGTCAAATAACTTCTCTCTAACGGACCGATGGTCAATGAACCTCGGCTAACTTGACACTACGGGCTCATTGTCTCACCCAAACGGGAGGGCGCAGAAGTTGAAAGGGGTGTAACTACGGCGTACTTCGATGTAGTTCCTCTAATTGGGGTTTCCTCTGATAGCGATGTATCTCAATTTGAATGCAGCTATCTCTATCAATCTTTCACTACTGACAACAACCAAGGATCACTGAAGAACTTCAGCTATCTTCTCAGCTAATATTATTCACTCTTCCTAGATGTTCACCCAGCCCACCCGCGCTTAGACGTACTTCAACGCACTTCGTCCAACCTCCCCAAACCCCCGGCCATCCTTCTCCTCCTTCGACTAACTCCGCCTAACATCGCCGCACTTCTGCTCCCATTGTCCCTACTTGGCCTAACTCTGTCTAACTCTGCCGTATTTCCGCTCCCATTGTTCCTAGTCCGTAGCTCAATATAACAGTGCCCAACGGAACAGTGATCTTAACCACTGCAACAAAAAGGCCTATTAATTGGCAATTGACTCTACCGCCAATCGCTGGTTAAATACCCTTCCCCAACTTTTGCTTGAGTTGTCATGTCCTTTGTGACAAGTTTGTGCATCACATATCTTTCAGAAAAGGATATCAGGAGGCCTTTTGTAATTTGTAGTTTCCCTTAAAATATCATTTGCAACTCACAAAAGACCTCTCCTTGACATACTACATACATCCAACACATCCCTCATCATTATTACCTTCACCCACGTCAGCACACACACTGTTATGACCCGGTCAGGATGAAGCGTGTCATAACCCATGCTTGGGCTCATATAGCTCTACCAGAGCTCATATAGCTCCACCGGAGCTCATGTAGCTGACTAGAAGCATTGTATGATTCATGAGCCGAATACAGAGCGCTCTATGATAGTTCAGTAAGCTCTACTGATGCTCTACCAGGGCTCTGTTAGATCATATGAGCTAGTCTATGGCTTGGGGAAGGCTCGTTAGTTTTGTTAGTAATGGGATGTGAGCTATGGAATAGCTCACTGAGCCTTGCTCACTCTGATAGCTCTACGTGGACTATATAAACCCTGTATCTACTTTGGAGTTGCTTTTCTTCTCCAAGGATCAATATATTATTTGCCACTCGCACAAGACCTCTTGACATACTACTTACATCCAACACTTCCCTCATTATCATTACCCCTGTCCACACCATCACCAACACCTCTATTGTCATCTTGACCTGCCCGGATCCTTCGCAAGTCACCTTAGTCGTCTGACCACATCACAAGTCTACAGACAACAAATTAACCGTCGTTGTCCAAGCTAACTAAACAGTTGCAGTCCACCTGTCTTTGTTCCATTGAGGGCTGTCAAGGACAGGACCGTGACACACACCCTTATTGTCTGTCATCTCAACCTGCCCGCATCCTTTACAAGTCACCTTAGTTGTCCAACCACATCACAAGTCTATGGACAACATACAAACTGTTGTTATCCAAGCTAACTAAACAGTCGTAGTCCACCTGTCTTTGATCCATTGAGGTCTGTCAAGGACAGGAGGACTATGATCCAATGACCAAAAGGTCAGCCAGGAATGTTGAAGCATGCCTTCTCACATGGATCAGTCACTTTGGCAACCCTGATATCCTTCAGTCTGACAATAATTGTGATTTCTGCAATACACTTATCACCAATCTCGCGGAAACATATGACATGAAGATCAAACATGGCCTTCCACAAACACCTCCAGTTCAAGGTCTCATTGAGCAAGCAAATGGTACTGTCAAAACATGTCTGTCAGAGTGGTGTCTTGAACATCCAGAACGTCCATGGTAAGCTCAATGCTTTCAGTCCTGAGTACTGCTGATTGATAGGATAGAAGGGTTATCTACTGTTATCTGTTCAATCAATCACACAAATCTTCACGCTCCACATGAGACAGTCTTTGGATGGAAGCATTGGGAGATACAACTGTGGACAGTAAGAGGAGATTGTACAATCATTCAGTGCAGGATGAGCAGGAAGAGATTTCTGAAGACGGATCAGAAGAAGCAGATGAGAGAACAGAGTTGGTGTTTGAATGGGAAGAAGATGACAAGATTTATGGCACACAATAAAATCAAGGAAGTGTCCAGGCTACAGAGGAACCACTGAACGTACTCCAAACTGGTGAGAGGCCAAGTGTTCACAGCTGAATATCATTCACTGATGCAGCCAAAGCCATCAAGCCTTTAGGAAACAAGCTCCACATTGCAAGCAATGTCCCTCCCCAAGTTGTCACGAACTACGTCGTGACACCTCAATGATTCCACCAGCAATGACCCTCCTTTGACCGTCAAAATCCCTATCACGTCTCAACCTCGTCACCCCACACGTAACTTAGGACATCTGAGACCAAGTACGGCAAAGTCGGACAGAGTTAGGTGAGCCAGGGACAATGGGAGCAGAAGTACGGCGAAGTTAGGCGGAGTTAGGTGAACTAGGGACAATGGGAGCAGAAGTGCGGCAATGTTAGGTGGAGGTAGATGAACTATGGACAATGGGAGCAGAAGTGCGGCAATGTTGGGCGGAGTTAGTCGAAGGACGGAGAAAGACAGCCGGGACTCGGGGAAGTTGGACGAAGTGCGTTGAAGTACGTCTAAGCGCGAGAGGCTTGGGTGAAGATCTAGTAGGAGTGTCATAACCCTTGAATATCTGTAAATACCACGTGCATATTGTCCACTCAAGTCCAGTCAACTTTACTCAAATTGTCTCCACTTGTTCCATCGTACGACCTGTGGATCACCATTCAACCTTAATCACCCTCCCATCACTGAGTCAACCTGACTCGACATTGTATACATCAATCACGTCATCTGTCGTCATCTGAAGCTCTGGCCGACATGTACCAGGTTCCGTGCCCTCGGTTCCGCTCAGACCGGACAAACTGATAAGCAAGGGTATCTCGGGAGCAATATTAGCTGGATGGCCGGTTGGCATCTATTTCTGTATATGAACCCGTCCCAATCAACAAACAACAGAATCATCAATGATCGATAATTAGCCATCAATTCCTTAATTACTAATTAGTGCCTTAATTAGCCATCAATTACGGGTACCTCAATTAGTGATCAATCACGGGTACCTTAATTAGCGATCAATTGCGGTTACCTTATTTAGCGATCACACCACTGACGTCATAGGAGAGTACGTACGTCTGTCAACGGTAGTACAACTCCCTCGGTTACCAAATAACTGGTTCGCCGGATCAATCACCGGATCAATCACCGGGTCATCCACCGGGTCAACCACAGGATCAACCGGTCAACCGGTTGTCAGAATAGCCTTGTGAAAACACGTGTCTGAATATGGTAAACACGCTACTGATCAATACACACCCGCTACTGATTGAGAAGTGTATGCCACTGATGAAGAGTACACACTAGTGATGAGGAGTATGCAGTAATGGTCAGAGGTTCCATCTCTTGCAGCAGTGCGGACGACTCAACTGAGAGAAACAGAAGGAAAACCACTCTACTAAGCATATTTAGCCTATATTTGAACCGCTTGAACCTTTACCGAACTCGCAGGAATGAACCAGCTATTTTTGAGTCAGAATCTGCATAATGTGGGCGCTTAAGAAACACCCTCTGAACCCCCTGAAAGATCAGAGCTCATCTAATTCCCAGGCCTCAAGATCACTTCTCGCGGCTCCTTTATTTGTCTGACTTTTCAATGGGTTTTCAGCCTTTGATGAGGAGATCTCTTCTGGGGCTTCTAGGATGAGTCAGAGGCTTCTGAAAATTCGTTTAAAACACTGCTTTTGATACAAGGTTTCCTCAGGGTTTCCCCCTTTGAAGTAGGAGAGGAGAGGAAGGAGTTTTAGGCTCAGTTTGGAGGATTTTGTCTATAAATAGTGGTTCTAGCTCTCTGTTTGTTTCTCTGTCTCTCTGATCAATTGTCATCTTTGATTCTAGCTCTCTACTCTAACTTACTGTTGCCTTTAGGACTGTTTGAGACACGCCATTGCGGCTTCATCGTCATCAGTCATATATTTGTGACAAGGAGTAAATAATGTTAGCTGAGAAGATTGCTGAAGTTCTTCAGCGATCCTTGATTGTTGTCAGTAGTGAAAGATTGATAGAGATAGCTACATACAAATTAAAATACATTGCCATCAGAGAAAAACCCCCAGTTAGAGTAACTACGTTGAAGTATGCCGTAGTTGTTAACTGATAATTAGATGATAATACAGAGGGGAAAAAGAGCATGCATCAATTCTACATGTCTCTATACTTATCACATTCCACTCACACGCATAAAACCAGAGACGATCGAATAAAGTTCAGAGGATAAGTTGAACGGAGAAATATTCGACGGAAGGGGTAATTCTAACGGCGGTTCGGCCGTCCTGGCCCGATTCTATCGGCTAACACTCCCCCACGGGACAATGCACGACTCTGCAGTAGTCCCGGACGATTTATCGATGGCGACGGCGAGGTTTGTGATGATGTAGAAGGTAGTAATGATGAAATATTGAGTGTTATGTGTGTGGTAGTAGTGGTAGGTGAAATCGTGAAATGAATTTCTGTGGGGCCCCCCGCGGGGCTCCGCTCTGACACGTGGCTACCACTCACCGCTACCAACGACTGACTCTTCTCTATCTTTCCTTTTACTTCATCACTTTTATCTCCAATTATCGGTATGTCCATCTTTCGTCTTTCTCCACTTCTATCTCTCATTTCTGACTCTCTGAACTTCCCTTTATCCTGTCTGCTTCTTAAAACTTCAGGTTTGCTAGTAGGATCCCGAGAATCGATGAATTTCCTTCGTGGTCCTGGCTGACGAGATATCACAGTTTCGCCACTCGTCGGAAATCTTTTATTTTTATAAGAATCATCATTATGTCTCGTCGTGGGTTTCTCCTGGTTGGTTTCTGGAGGGAATCGGAGAGAAAAGGTACGCTGTTTATTGATTCTGTCATTATCTAGACTGATTTCTCGAATTCTCTCCAATGATAATCTTTTATCTTCAGATGTTGCTGGCCACCTTGGCCTACGCTCGGTTTCTCTTGGCGGCGGCCTCTCGTGGTGGACAGGGGGCCTCATCCTCCTTATTCGACATGATTCACGAGATGGAGGCTTGGGAAGGGGAGGTAAGGGACGTCTTGGACGACGAAATGAGGGGTCGTGATGTTGAGATGGGGAATATTTAGTTTTCTCTCTCATCTCACCATGTAGCCGTCCTTCCCTTCTCTTCTGTTCCTTCTCTTTCATCTCTCTAACGATCCTAGGTTCTACCGGTGGTTTCTGACCTATCTTAGAATTACTCACATTCTTAGGTACACCTGAAAATTTTACATTTTGGCTCACGAGAACTTTTCCTTCGGTGGTACCTTCGGTGGGTTTCTCTGAAGTTCCTTCCACCCACACTTCTCCTTCTGATACTACTTCTCTCTCTGGTACCACTTCGTTCTCTGTACCACCTGACAGATCTCCTAGGTCCTCAAATTCAGAATAATCGTAATCGATGATTTCATCATCATCTAATGTCACGTATACTGAACCAATGTTTTTCTTCTTCGGTGGTTCTACACGTATCGCTGACATATTCACCGAATGTACTGGTCCACCTAAAGCTTTTGTAAGTACATCTGCTCTCTGATAGACAGTGCTGACGTATGCTAGTTCAATAACTTTATTACTGACTAGATCTCGAAGAGCATGATGTCGAATATCGATATGTTTTGTCCTCTGGTGAGTACCAGGTTTTCTCGCCAGTGATATCGATCCTTGGTTATCGCAGTTTAATGTAGTAGGATTTAGCTGATCGTAGCCTATCTCCCTCAGTAATCCTCTCAACCACTGAGCCTCCTTCGCTGCTTCAGCCATCGCGATGTATTCTGCTTCGACTGTCGACGACGATACCGTAGCTTGTCTTTTTGAACTCCAGGTTATCGGTGAGTTGTTCATCATGAATATCCAACCTGTAGTTGATCGTCGTGTGTCTTTACAACCTGCCCAATCGGCATCAACCCATCCTGCTAGATCACTAGCCTCGCCACCAAGACGAATACCATGTAACCGAGTGGACCGAAGGTAGGTAATTACCATTATCCCTTCTTCCCATACTTTCTTCGTCGGTTTGGTGAGGTACCTAGCAAGGTATGAAGCTGCATATGATATGTCGGGTCGAGTACATGTGGCTAACCACTGTAGACATCCTATTAATTCTTGAAATGGTCGAATTTCACTT